TATATATATATTATCTGATTTCACGACCAATTTGATGGTTTAATTTAAATCTCAGGTTTTTTCATTTATAGTTAAATTATTTTCTGTTACATTCCTGTTTGATTTATAAATTTTTTTATAAAGGCTTGTTAAATGTCATTAAGTACGTTTTTAAATGTTTTTATATTTTTTTTACGAAAACTTTATTGTTTAAAACGAAGCAAAAAATTTTTTTGTCTAAGGGTCAATTTTTATTTCATAATATTTTATTGTTTAAATATTTCAATTATGAAACTGAAAATCTGTTCCTTATACAATTTTTAAAATTGTGAATCACTTTTACATTTAAAATAACATGAAATAATAGAAGTCCCTTCTTTTTTAAACTCTTTTTAACTTATAAATATTTTGCGTCATACTATTTTATCACTTTTAGTTAGAAATAAAATAGAAAGTACACGAAATTACCAAAAAAAATGTTCTAATAAACAGTTTTATGTAACTAAAGAACTATTCAAGAAATATGCTCGTAAATTTTATATATTTGAAATGCTGGAATAAATGAATGACCATTTTAGGTTTAAAAACTCACAGCTTTATTTAGCAAAATATAGATTTTCTTAAATAAGTAATACAATGTGATTTGCACATGCTATCTCTAGATCTATATGCTGCAGATAATAATATTTTTTCTTAATTTTTACTTTTTTGCGCTTTTAATCTTAAAGTGATATATCTTAGATCATCCCAGTAGCAAAAGGTAGAGTTCGCTTATAGTATTAAAAAATAAATAATAATTAAAACTTGATTTTTTTTAAAAAATGCAAACTTTTATTTTTTCTGAACGAAATGATAAATATTAAATAATTTTTTGTTTATAGGCTCAAGAATTAAGACCCTGAGCGATTTCGGATATGTTGTTATGGATATTTCTTTCGTACACGTAGAAGATTCTGGAGAGTATGTGTGTGTTGCAACAAATAAATTTGGATCAGATACTACTCGTTGCACGATACAGTGTACAGGTAAGTCGAAACGTCTATAAAAATATTTCAATACCTCTAAACGTTGATGCATTAAAACTATACACAAAAACCCAATTATTAATAAATAAGTCACCCATCCTTGTTATTTCAATTTCTGTTTATCAATAAAAAAAATTATGCTGTCAAAACAATTGTATATTTTCTGGACTGTAATTGTACCACTTTTAACAAGTCTCTTGTGATTCGCTAGTTAGCAAAGCATATTTATAAAATTATGACCACAGATATCTACATTAACGGATCACAAACCAAAACATTTGAAAAACACTTTTATTCCCCATTTTCAAAATGTAATATGGAGATAAAAAAATAAAATAAAATATTCAACTATAATTTCTATATGCTCTCACAAATGTCTCTATATAATGTAAATTTAAACAGTTCATAAAAGTTCTTTTTTATATTATATCATTCTAAAAACCTTTGTATATTTTTCACGATTTGTAAGATATTCGTAAACTTAAGTGAAAAGATTTAATAGTGGTTGAAAGAAATGCTGACATTTCTACATTTGAGAGAGTAAATAACAGCTTTTGTGAAATTTTTGAGACAATTATGAACATTAAAAATATTTTATAATAGGATTTTTTATTGTTTTTAAAGCATACTGTAAAAAATTTTGATCAAATTATGTTAAAAAATACCAAGAGTGCCGGTACTTTTTTTTTCACAAAATCCATTTTTACTAGAACGAAAAATCTCATATTCCGTAATTTTTACAGTAGATTTACCATACAATCACTGAATCACTTTAATTAAATATATGATATTGTAAAGATTACGGTATGATATTTTACGGTTAAAATGGATTTTATGAATATTGGAAAAATGGGTTCTAATGACCGGTACTTTGACATGGAGATTTTTTACATAGTAAATAGTGATGTGTGAATACATTTTACCTTTTAACTCTCTATTTACTATTTAATAGGTTATGGAAAAATTTTCCGAGACACACTACAGCCTCAAAGCTTGGAAAAAATTGCAGAACTTGAAGGTTCTCATGCCCTTTACAGAAGTCAAGTGTCAATCGACGCTAAGATCACAGAGGCACCGAAATTCACAACCCACATCAAAGAAATTACAAGTCTTGTGGAGGGACAAAGTGCGCACTTTGAAGGCTATTTAACTCCAATAAATGATCCTAACATGAAAATTGAATGGTACTTCAATGGAAAACTCTTGGGAGCTGGTATGTAAAAATTGCAATTTCTAATTTTGATTTAAAGCTCAGAATATTCATTTTTTTTTAAAAATGGTTATTCCTACTTACAAACTTCTTAAATTCAAATCAAGTTATAGTTACTATTTTTTGAAAGAAAATTCGCAAAGGATTATTTTAAAATAGATTTAAAATTCATAACTTCGTTTTTACAGATCTTATATTTTAGAAATATTTAATTTTCCTTTAAATAATATTCAACGTTCTTGTTTATGTCTTAGATTTGTTTGAAGCATCTGTATAATTAAATTTAAAAATTGTATGCCTCATTAACTATGCTATATTTTACGAAAAAAAAATGTAAAATATAAAGCTTTACTTGGTATTGAACATTGTTTTGATGCTTAATATGGTTTTAATTCTGCCTACAGGTCATCGCTTTAGAACTTTCCATGATTTCGGCATTGTTATATTAGACATTCTATACTGTTATGGAGAAGATAGTGGTGAATATATGTGCAAAGCAACAAATAAATTTGGAACCGATATCACCAAGACCACTTTGACTTGCAAATGTAAGCTTGGAAGTTAATATTTAATCATTTAAAACATACAGCATCCATTTTCTTGAACAATTAATAATTCACTTTTTGGAATTTCAGCCAAGAAATCGATTATTCTGGATCCTCAAATTCCAACAGAAATGGCCGATAGCAACAGAAGAATCATGGAACTGGAAGAGCACTTATACAGATCTCGTGCCGATTACGTTGAAGATGTACATTTCGAAGCTCCACGATTCACTGTACCCCTAGAGAATGTAACGGATTTGAGGGAAGGAGAAAATGCTCATTTGGAAGCTAGACTCATTCCAACAGACGATCCTGATCTCAAAGTTGAATGGTTCAAGAACAGCAAGTCTCTCAAAGCAGGTAAACACCGCCAGCACCCTAGTGTTCGAAAATTTCTCGTCAAAAGTGGTTAAATATCAATTTATTTTATTGTTATTTTATCTTATTCAACCAAAGCAGCGACATAACCATAAAAAGATGTCATTCAAAAACGTTTATCGATTGTTTTTCTTAATACTGTAGAACAAACAGAATTCTATTCTCGCCAGTTAGGCTCACCTATTAAAGTAATTCCGTTTCGTGCAGCTGGGCGCATACTGTAGCTGGGAAGGGTAATCGGTAAATCTCATAACTGGCTGAACAGGGGCTCGAATCCCAGCCTTAGTATTACTATATTTCTTCCATTCCTTCAATATAAGAAGAGTTTTAAGTGTCAATACGAAACTATCATCCATGCATAAATGACACAGCACCCACACAACTGCAATGTTCGTTTAAGTTTTATTTTTATGGTTTAGAAAGTACTATGCTAGTTATGAACGTTGCAAAATCGTATAATTTTGTATTCAGGGATAGAACATTCGCCTCAATCAGATGGCCCGGGTTTAAATGTCTGCGATGGCTGATCGATACGAAATCCGCACATGGATCTCACCAACCACAGTGCTGATACAAAATATCCTAAGTGGTAGACGGATCATGGATTAGAGTCCCATGTCATCAGGCTAACCATGGAAGGTATTCGGGGTTTTCCCCTCCCTGTAACACAAATGCCGGTTAGTATTATCAAAAAGGCCTCAACGCAAATTTCTCCCAATACTTGATCCAGGATTTCCCTTGTCTTCTGGATTGGGTTCTAAATTACAAGGCTAGGAAGTTGAGCATTGATAATCGTAAACTCAAATTTGGGTTGGTTCTACAACCGGTTATAAAGTAAAAGAACAAGTAATGCAGACCAATTAATAAATGAAAGTAGCGATATTAAATTTTATATACAATATTAACTATTAAATAGTGTGAATATAGGCGATATTACTTGCCACCAATATATTTTCATATTCCAATTTCAAATACGAATTATTACATTTTGTGAAAAAATATTTTCATTCTCCTCCTTGCTTGTCATGAGTTATTGAATTTTTTTAAGTATGAATGACACTTTTTCAGCATCCACTGCTAATAACAGAGGTGAAACTAACAATAAAGCGTTTATTTATTTTGTTGACTTTTTATTTATTGATTTTGTTGAAGTTTATACCATGATGAACCATAATGTCATTCAAATTTGCTCAAATTTCTTGAGCCCTATAATCATACTTCTTAAATATGGTTAGATAATACTTTGTAAGTTGTTCACGGAAAAAAGGCTCAGTTAACATCTCAAAAACATTGTAGCAAATTTACAGCATATTATGGGTCAAGGTACCTTGGATTAATGCTGAATTTTAGAACTTACTTCTCAGAGTGTACTTGGACATATTTTATGAAGTATTTTACTATTTTTCATGAAATGCAAAATTTTTATTAAATGGTATAATTAATAGAAAACGTTTATACAAAGTGATGTATCGTTTAAAACTGAGCATCATCACATACAAAAAGAATCATAGAAGCACAAGTCCTCCAATTATTTATAAAATAATTAGTGTGATGATCTCAAAGTTTTATCCTATTACTTCTCGCCTGAATTGTAAAAACTGATATTTAAATAATTTATTCACTAAAATAAGTATCCTATGTTCGATTACTTGAAAGTTCTACAGAAAATACCTAATACGCATTAGCTAAATTATATTTAAGTTAAAACCCATGTTAGTATTATTTTGAAAACACTTATTATATAATATATTACATTTATGACACTGAACTAAAGTACGATTTTAAGTATTCTTTTAATTAATATTTTTAGGAACAAGAATTCGAACAATAAATGACTTTGGGTTTGTTGTACTTGAAATCAGTCCTATCTATCCCGAAGACAGTGGTCTTTACTCTTGCAGAGCCACTAATAAAGTTGGAGAAGCTGTAACAACATGCACACTTAAATGCTCCGGTAAGTGTTCATTGGTATTCATTGGTGCATTGATTTTATTTGTCATATAAAGAGAAGTTTTAAAATATGATATTAGCAGACGGTTGGCGTAAATTTTTAATTCATTACCCTTTGTTTTTAACTTCTTTTAGGAAAGCGTAGTATCATTATGGACACACAACTTCCTGCGGGAATGGAGAGCATGGAAAAAATAGCAAGATTCGAAGATATTTCTTCAGCTCGTATAGCCGAACAATGGATGGACATTGACATACAACAGCCACCCAAGTTCATCTCAAAACCACAAGATCTGACCCTCGGAGAAAACTCGTTAGCTCACTTTGAGTGCAGGCTGACTCCAGTTAATGATCCCACCATGAAAGTAGAATGGTACCACAATGGAAAAACTTTAATAACAGGTGCTTGAAAGTTTCACAAAAACTATACGTTACAAAAAAATATTCATTTTCTACTGCATGTTTTTATCAAAATATTTGTTAACAATACTTTCTTTTTAATGTCTTCTAGGTTCTCGTATCAAGACAATAAACGACTTTGGCTTCGTAATCTTGGAAGTGGCTGGTGTATTTGGAAGAGATGCAGGAGTTTACATGTGCAAAGCCACTAACGCTTTTGGAGAAGCCACAGTTAGTGCTAAACTGATCGTTAAAGGTAAATATTCGAAATGTTGCTCAATTTGCGTTAGTTATTAAAGTAACTAATTATTGCAATTTTAAGAAATAAAATACTAATTATTGGTAATAAAAGAAGGTAATTAATTTTATTAATTAAAAAAATAAATTTTTATTCAATAAAACAATTCTCCATAATGCGCAAATTTTTACTTTAAACGTCAGTGAATGGAATACCTTGCAATGTTATTTAAATTAAAAAAAACACGTTAATTTTGTAAATACTGGATAATCACCATTTACCTTAAAGTAGCAATGTGAAGTAACCTGAAACTAACAAAACATCTATTATTTTCTCGTTAAAGAGAAAACAAAATAAAATTTAAACCCACACATATATCTATTTTTTACACATATATCAAAGCGAAATGGATCAAATGTTTACGCCAATCAATCGAGAAGCGAACAAATCGAATAAAATACCATAGAATTTTGATGATCGAGTCCCTAAGGTATATTTATTAAATTAATAATTAGATTTTAAGATTTTGGATGTCAAAATGATCTACACGAACAACCTGGGAAAGCCCACACTAGATCTTCAGACTTTTTGGGTACATAGCAATATTCAGTCTTTCTAGCGTTAATCAAGCAGTAATATACAAATTTCAAATTAGCTTCATTTTTATGTAATAAAAAATGTTGTACACTCTTAGAAATTTGAATCACGTTGATTTTAATTATGGTTCAAAAGTCCTACAAACTTAATATAATGTTGATTCCTTTTGAATTTGAAAACACTATAGTATAGTTCAACTTAAACAAAAATGCATTTTTTTCAATATTTCAATACTATTGCTGCAAATTTGTACAATAGTATTGCTTAAACCTTTGACGCTGATGGGAGATAGGTGTTCCTTTTGTATATTTTTTCCTTGCTCTCTAATTATAAATGAAAATGTATTTTGGTATTTATTAATTAGAAAAAACAGTCTAATAGTTACTTAAATATCTAATCGAATATCGGAATTATTTTTACTAAATTATAAAACCCAGAAAAGCTAGTTAGATATTGTTTTCACTCACATTCAAAAATTCATCTATAAATGATTTTGAAAATTAAAGATATTTCATTGATAAAGATCTACATAACTGCATCTAAGTGCTATGTGAAAAAAATATTGCTTGGAAGTGGACCGTATTTGGAAGATTTTACTTTTAGTGTAAAAAAAGATACCAATGTTTCATGCTGTATTTCATAACCATTAATTATTAAAATGCCTAAGTATAATATATTTCACTTATATTGATCTAAATTAAAACAAAATAATGAAAAATATATTTAACAAAAATTCTGCGTCAAAGGGTTAAGAGCTGATAATAAAGTTGATAGTTGAATGTTACATCCAATACTCTTTTTGTAAATACAGCTAAAGGATCAATCATAATGGAGCCACAATTACCAACTGAATGGCGTTCCGGTACCGAGAGTTTGCAAAGACTTGAAGAAGCAATGCACAGAACCGAAGAAGTAATAATTGACGATGACAGAAAATTACCACCTAAATTCATTACTCAGATACAAAACTTGGAGAGCAAGGTAGAAGGAGAATCTGCTCACTTTGAGTGCAGACTCGAACCCGTAGGCGATCCTACGATGAGGGTTGAGTGGTACCAGAATGGAAAGCCACTCACAACAGGTAAATAATCATGTGATATTTTAGTGAAATGAGAAGGTTTTATTATTTATGAAAATTAATTGATTAATTGATTCGTGTTCTTTATTGTTAAACTAATGCTTGTTTGCTTTAAGAAAACGGATTTGAAATACTTTATTATGCAGATTTAGAGAATTTTTTAATAGGATTCCTTTTGAAGCATTTAAATTTTCTTAAGTAGTATGATAATGTATGATATAATAGTATGATGTAATAGTGATAACTTAAGAACTGACAGCTAAGAAAGTGAATAACGTGATTTTAAAACACAATACTCTAAAAGAACTTTGAATTCTGTCTTATAGATGGCATTTTCTACAAAAGATACTGATTAAGTAATAATGACAGAAATCTTTCATGACTACATTTATAATATAATTCTTAGAATTAGAATATTTGTTTCAGTATTTTTACAATGATTCTTCTTTAAATTGAATGTATTTTAAGAATATTATTTTTGCAGTTTTTAATCTATATTTGAATCCCTTTCTTTGAAGCAGTTAGAATTTAAGTTGAACTTAGATGACTCTTTTAACGACTTGTAAAATGTTAATAGCAAACAAAGTACGCAACTTAAAATTTTAAGAGAATTTCATATTAAACATTTTAATGCTTTAAAATTCAAAATATTTGTTATATTGTTTTTATAATAATCCTTTTCAAAACCGCGGTGACTCAGACAATAGAGCACTCCCCCAAACGAGGCAACCCAGGTTCGAATCCAAGCATCGACTGTTCGATACGCATTCTGCTTTCGGCTCTCACCAACCACAGTGCTGACATAATATATCCTCAGTGGAAGACGAATAATGGGTTAAAATCCCTTGCCGTTGGGCTAACCATGGGAGTTTTTCGTGGTTTTCCTTTCCATGTAACGAAAATGCTAGTTAGTTCCATCAAAAATGTCCTCCAAGAAGGCTAGATTGTCTCAATGCTTAATAGTTTAAGAGTTCTCTTGTCTTCTGCATTTAGATAAAAATTTCAAGGCTACGGAACTGAACATTGATTGTGTTGGCTGTTCAAAGCAGGTTGTAAATAAATTATTGTTCTCTATTAAATTTGATTGGTTACAATTAATCTCGTTAAGTCACCTACATGTATCGAAATCTAAAAATAAAAAATTAATAATAATAAACACATTTTACTTTTACTTCATTGTAATTTTTCTTTTCATAGTATAGATTTTATGTACAATCATTTGAAAATTTCTTATGACAGGCACTAGAGTCCATACAGTTGATGACTTTGGCTTCGTGGTGTTAGATATCGATTGGTTGTTCCCTAGAGATGCAGGTGAATATATGTGTAAAGCAACCAACAAGTGGGGACAAGATACAACAAAAGCTGTACTGAAAATAAAAAGTGCGTACATTTTAAATCGTATCATCCTTTCTTTTAATTTTAGATCATTTTAACATTTTCTATTCAGTTTTATTTTTGTTTGTAATGCTGTACTGGAAGGACAATGTTTATTGATAAAACTCATTTTCTTAAAAAGTGCTATTTTTACATCTAATTAAGCCTTAGTATTGTTTCTAAATATGTAATTTACAAGTTATCAAAATTTCCAGTTAATGGATATATCTTACCGCTTGCAAAGAAATTTACGGATGTTTAATTTTAAATTTTCGACAGTACAATTTGAAAGCAGGAATAATCATTATGCGGCCCCAAGTCTTTCAGTTTTTTTTTTGTATTAAATGGCATAAGCTTTATTTCACATTGAATTAGTAATTATATTTCAAATAAAACTATTAACACGTACTTATGCCAGCAATACAGTAAAAATTATTTGACTAAATAACTAGCAGAGTCAAAAATTTGAAGAAAAATCTTTAAATTTAACTTAATCTTTCCTTTAATTATCGTAAATTTACATAAATACTGTCACATTAAAAAATTAAATCACTGTTATTTTGCAACAATTACTGAATCATTTATTGACAAAGTATAAACTTTATCAGTTGTGTTATAAAATTATATATTTTTTTGCTCATAAATATTAGATAGATTCACTGAAATTTAATAATTGCTGTCATGAATTTAGGCAAGCGAGATATTATAATGGACAGTCAATTACCCGAAGGCATGTCAGCAGATAAACTGAGGGAGCTTGATTTCCCACCGCAACAAGAAGTTCCTACTGAAGAATTCGTTCCTCATCCACCAAAATTTATAACTCAGATTCAGCCTCAAGATAACTTACAAGAAGGGGACAGTGCCCACTTTGAATGTAAACTGACACCAATTAATGATCCCAAGCTCAAAGTTGAATGGTATCATAATGGAAAACCACTTAAATCAGGTAAGAGTCGCTCTGAAAAGAAGTTAGATAACGTGCTTTTTTCCCCCTGAAAAAAATTATATATTTGTCTGTTTTGTGGCTTTATTTGTTCTTTATTCACATTGTCTAGCTTTGTTTTCCCATATTGCACAAATTCTACTTTTTTATTATTTAAAAGAATTGCTTTCCCTTTTTTGAACTTATAGCAATTTAATAATTATTTAATTTTTAATTTTGCTATTGTATTCACTATAAAAAACTCCTGATAAAGTTACTGTACCGGCACTTTTCGTGCATCATTCATAAAATCCCTTTTACCATAAGATATCGCACCTTGAATTTTACAGTAATATTTATTTAATTAGAGATTCAGTGAGTTTACTGTAATTATTATAATAAAAATGTTTGTTTATCAGATTTTTTTTCATAACAGAAATGGATTTCATGGTAAGAAATACCGACACCCTGAGTGCCGGTACTTTTTACAGTAATTTGATCCGCAAACAATTGAAGTGTACAATACTGTTATAGTGTAATAAGCGTAAGATTTCTTATTGTAGTCCAAGGAGAATTCGGTTAAAGATTTACCAGTCCTTTTAAAATTTTACATGTAAACCAACTTAGTGATTATTCTAATTTAATAGAACTTGACGCAACATTTAGACCTATCGACAGATCTAAATATGTCGGACCAATTGTATTTTCGACTAAAGAAATATCAATTTTTCATGTTTGTCTCTCAATATCGTAGAAAGTCAATTCAGTTAGCAGAATTCTCTATAATTTACCATGTCAATATTAATCAAACTAAATATCGTGTGTAAAGCACGAATAACGTGACAAAATATGTAGTGACTCTTTGGTTTTAGTTATCTTTTCCCCTTTGAGTTTTTCATTTATTATAGAGACAAAAATATTTATAAAATATGAGTTAAAAGGTGTTAAAATTGAAAGTAATTAATATTAAATTATGTAAAAAAGGTTGGAACCTCATAAAAAAATCACGTCTTTAAGATTAGATTTAAGGTACTTCGATTTATAGGGAGTTGACTAGTTTAAAACGAATAGATTCTGGGGGATTAAAAAAGTAATGTGATTCAAAAGTGCATGGGACTCAAAAAGTAAATTAGTGCCGGTTACGCGTACTGATTTTTAAAATAAAATTATTAAAAAAAGTATATATAGCAAATAAATATGTAATCTTGACAATTTAAATAAAGGCTAAAATGATAAAATTGTATTGCTAGACAAGGTAAATAATGATAATTACAAAATAATAGCTCAACATTTTGCTGCTGCACTCTAACATTTGGAATTAAATGACGCGTTTACTTCTATTTTAATTTGCATCTGTAGACTAAAAATACATATAAAACGAAAGAAGTAGATTTTATTTTTACTTATTAGTGTGATTTTATATTTATATTTTTATCCTCAATTTACATTCATCGGGTTAGCATACTTTTCTTTGAATTTTTTTTTGTCTTACTGAATATATGTTCGAAATATACAATATATTAAAATGGCAGATATCTTGTAACACTACTTCTTGGAACTTGAGGTTGTATATTACTCTATTTTTATTATTTAACCAAAATAAAAACATTTTTATACAATGTTTATAAATAACTTCTTTCTTCTTGAAACTGAAACAGTTAACGTTTTCTTAAAACTTAAACGTTTTAAAAACATTCTTTAAAGCAAATTTTGGAAATATTTTAACCAAATCATAAGTTCTTCAATTTCCTAATTATCGAAATACTTTCTTCATATCATGATAGATGAGCAACTATCAAACTGAAGTAGTTTTTGTTTACTTATTCCTAGTTCCAATTATTGATATTAGTTTTTAATTATAGGTCATCGTTTTAAGACAACATATGACTTCGGCTTTGTCGCATTAGATGTTTTGTACGTTTACACTGAGGATTCTGGTGAATATACAGCACGTGCCGTGAACGACTACGGTGAAGACATAACAAAAACTACCCTCAAAGTTAAAGGTACTTCCATACAATATTTAATGAAATGAAAACACTTTTTCTACTAAAAGCATATTTCTAAATAGTTAATTTCTCTGAAAAAAGTTTTACTGATAAACATTTATTCATTTGATAGCTCAAAGATTATTGGAATATAGAACACAACTACCAAAATCTATGGAGACTGGCGTTCAGAAAATTGCTGAGATGGAAGCTTCATGGCAAAGGTAATTGTTTTTTATGGTATTGTATTTCTTATATCATGCTTATCGTGTGTTTCTTATATTGTGTTTTGTTAGTTCCCTTTTTTTTAACAAATTACACTGGGGAACAATATATTTTCTTTCGTTTCCAGTTGCATAAGGTTACAAATCTTAGATACTTTCGCATAGCTGATTTTAAATCCGAAATCTGTCTTCGAGGTATAATTTTTTTTAAATGATAGTTTTAGTATATTTTCAGTCGAAGCGTACAAGTTTAAAAGCATTATATAAAACAGCGGGTGACATAAATGTTGTAACAAACTTCGAGGAGAATTAGGGCACATAATCAGGATTCCAACTTTATCAGAACCAATGCTCGGAAATGTCGTCATATGACACTAGGGGCGATTCTTTATTTATCACAGGAGAGCACCCGTAGCTGGGTACAATGACATTTCCTGTAACGGATTCCTATGCAAATTAATTCAAAACTAGACGAAAAACATTTGTTCACCAGTGTTAGTTTTTCGTTGCTGTGACTAAATGTTGCAGCTTTAAGAAGTAGTTTAAAAGTATAATTATTAAATATTGCATTTACAGAGTGGTGTCTGAAGAGGAAGTTCCTCCTGAACGTTGCCGTCCCATGTTTATTATGAAACCTGAACCTCAAGTCGTAACTGAAGGTGAATGGGCCAAGTTCTGTTGTCGTGTAATTGGAAATCCCAGACCAAGGCTCATGTGGATTTTGAATGGCAACACTATCGGGCCAGTAAGTCTCTTTTTTTTCAGTTGAAATTATAGTTGGTGTCGTGAAAATAAGGACTGTAACTGGACCAAATTACGTAAAAAGTACTGGCACATACAGTTCCAGTACTTTTTACCGTAAAAACATTTTTAAGTAGAATATGTATGGAAACAAAACATCTAAACTAAACTCAGCAGCCCATAGAGGGCCTAGGCCAACTGTGCCTACTGTGTACTGATTTTACAGACGATGCACCGGTACTTTATAGTGTAGTTTGATCCGGAATTTTTTACAGTGTAGATGCGATTTTGTAATTCTGTAAACGTAATTAAAACTTCGCTGTGTTCAATATGTTCATGTGATACGTTATGTAAAGGTAAAATATAAATATCTAAACAGTCACTGTTCCATTAATTAGTGCCAAGATCGAAGGTTTTGACAAATTAAATTAGTTGATAAAATATGGGGTCATTTATGGAATTCTAGGAAACGCCTAACCGGGCTGTTGTACCAGTTATGATGATAATTGTAGTCCGTACTCCTTTATTATACTTCTATATTGCTATATTTCATCTAATGGGAGCAAAAATGAATCTTTCTAATTTTACATCACTTAACATGAACATATCCATTTTTTAAAAAATTGTGTGTACACGAAATTGTTTATTCTTTTTGGTGCATCCCACTTTTTTTTAACGAATCAAAATTTAGATTGGAATACATTTTATACTATAAACTCGTTTGTACTCTAAACTCGCTTAAGAAAATTTAATTGACTTAAATAATTTTTTCTAGGGATCTCGCTATAAATTGACTTATGATGGAATATATCATTTGGACATTCCTAAGAGCAGGCAGTATGACCAAGGCAAGGTTGAAGTTTTTGCACGAAATGGCATGGGTGAGGCTTACTGTTGGACAACATTGGAAGTAAGACCAAGGCATGATGATTACAGGGTAGTTCTGAAAAATTCACCTAGGCGTAAGTATATTTGAAAGAATATAAATAGCAGCAGTAATAGCATGCTATGCTTCTACTAAAAACGAAGTTAACTTACCTCAAATCTGAAATTGATGATTTTTAAATTTTATTTAAAAATGGTAGATTTTATCTCTACGTTAAAAATAAAATATAATTGAAGAAATAAATGATAGATTTTTTTATTGATGTAATTTAATTAGAGTTTATAATTGGAAAACTAAAAAAAAAGTATATTAGAGGATTTTTGATTTTATATTTTTAATCTTTTATTTTTAATAACAAACATAATGTAATATATTCTTAGTGAAATTTTTTTTATATTTATAAGCATTGGTTTTTTTCATGTCTTAAAAATTAAAATTTATAAATGTATGATTTTGTTTTGAAAATTTTGCAAATTTATGTATTTTATTGTTATGATTTATATTATGTGCCTCAGACCTGTAGCAATGCGTATTAGTAAACCATGAGCTTTTAACTTCACTAATTTAAAAATATTATGCTCATGCGTTTTTTAATATTTTTCTAATATTGAATAAACAGCTTTTCAACTAATGCCAAAACTAACCAAATAAGATTTTACGCTCAATAATTTTTTTAATCAAATAAACCACTGATCTTGTGTCAATGGATTTGCTACGTTGACACTACATTTCATAACTGGAAACACAACTACTGCAGCATCTCTAAAACCTGGGCAGATATCTAATAATAGGTATGGCTTTTTTATCTTACTCAGCATTAATAAACTCTAACAATAACACATTATTTTGAATAAAAAATTTAAATGGTAAAATTAAAATTGTAAAATTTAAATAACGATGCCGAAATTTTATAAAATTATTTTTCTAATATTCAGTTGTTTTGAATTATTATATAAACAGCCTAAATATTATCCTTTCGTTTTAATAACAATGCACTGTCAGAATATTCTCCCTAAAATTATGGCAAAACAACCTGTAGCAGTCTGTTTATCTAATTAACCGTAAAGTCTACGGTGAAGAACATTTTTACCTTTACGGTTTTAAAACCTTTTACAACTTGTATGGTTAAAAATCCATGAATACAAAATTATATGTTTTTTTTAACCATTTACGACTAGTATCGTTTCAAAATTGTTAAAAAGACTGAACGTGACAGGTAGTTTAGCAGCTTTATGGGGCTGTCATCTGTGCGTGAATGCGAGTAGCCTGTTTAAATATCCCAAGGTCACAAATTAGGGAGTGCAGGATACTGATAACTCTTCATGTGCTTTGGAGATTAGAGGAAACTTTGTGGTGTCAATGTTGGGAATCGAATCCCTGTTCGTATTAGGAGATAGTAGTAAATAACCGGTTTTTCTCAGAATTTACGGTTGAGTACCATCTTTTTCATGGTTATTTGACTGTTTTGTTGGAAAGTGGTAAAATAACAATTACATAAATTGTTATTTAACCATTTTAACTGAGAAATTTCTAACTGTGTGCTTTTGGGTGAGACAAAATTAATGTAAAAATTTGAAATTAAATTAACTAATGAGAAAGAAAATATTGCAGTTGAAATTTATTATAAGATAAACAGTGTGCTCCGTTATCATGACCTTTATTATATTTATTAAGGATCTTATGAAAAATACGATATCCAACCAATAAAAACAATAGCAGGATTAAAATAATAAAGACCAGCTTGATTGCTTTAAAGCGTTTCCTGTTTTCAAAAGACCATCTTCAAAATGTCTCCAATTACCGCTTTTACTATTTTCTCAGTTTCTTTGCGCAATCAAATTGGTTTTGATATTTTTAATCACGCCCTTCTCGTTAATGATTCTCCAATGTTTTATAGCAGTTAATTAATACGTTACCTTTTACGAATAGATATTTTACTTCGTGTTTAAAACGGATTTCCAATTATATATAAGTCTGTAAATACGGAAGATTTAAACATCTAGTATTCATAATGACAGTATGCAGCATAGATTGCACTCGATATGCATACTTCATTTATCTAATTATTTTTTTTCAATTTTGGAAATAATGTGTTTTTGCTAGAGTTGCATGGCTTGCATGTTTTGCTTAAAATTTAATGTCTATTAAACGGTTTTTTGCCTTATTAGCAAAAGATATTAATCTTTCAAGCTTTTTAATGCTTAACTTGCCTAAGATTAACTTTTTTTAAATTCTAATGCTTTATTTGCTTAAAAATTATTAATCTATTATTCTCATATTTTAGGAAACCTAAAAACATTTGTGTCTTTATTAAACGAATAAAAAAATTTAATATATATGAAAAATTTTTTGAATTATTATCTTTAAGCTATAATTCAACAAAGTGCAAATATTATCAAACTTATATACAGTCAAACAACGCTATAGTGAACACGGTTTATAGTGTACTCCCGGACACAGTGAACGAAACGTTCACTCCCATGCCTTGCTATACAATGTTATGTAATGTTATTTTTTGTGGATTGAGTGAACCAAAAAAAGAGAGGAAGTTGGATATTATGAACTTTTTTCTGTCTACGACTGATTTTTTCCCTTCATTTTCGGGTCATTTTGAAATTTCTACATAACACATCGGCTGATAAGTTTCCGGTCTGACATACAGATGGCGCCCTAAATGCAGAATTAGTATTTTGTTTAGCAAGTCCTAACCTTCGAATAAAAGGTGTCAAAATTTTATAACGATCTGCAGATTGATTTTGAAGTTACAGTGATTTTAATCGAACACCAATTTATATTATTGAAACAATGGATAAAAAAGAATTTCGTGTTCTTATTAAACATTGTTATTTAATGAGAAAAAACACGGTAGAAACTAAAGCTTGGCTCGATAAGTGTTATCCGGGTTCTTCACCAGGAAAATCGACCATTATTGACTGGTTTGCTGATTTTAAACGTGGTCGTACAAATGTTGAAGATGCGCCACGCTCTGGACACCCTAAAGATGTGGTTAATCCGGAAAACATAAGTGCACAAAATTGTTATAGAAAACAGCAAAGTGAAGTTGCATGACATAGCTGATACTCTAAATATATCAAAATAGCGTGTAGGTTTTATTTTGCACCAACATTTGTTAATGAGAAAGCTGTTTTCGAAGTGGGTGCCGCGTGTGCTAACAGTTGACCAAAAACAACAACGAATTGATGATTCCGAGAGCTGTTTGACGTTGCGTCACCAGATTTGGCTCCTAGTGACTTCTACTTGTTTGCAGACTTGACAAAAACGCTTGCGAGTAAGAGATTCAGCACGAATGAGGAAGTGATTGCCGACACAAGCGCCTATTTTGAGGCCAAACATGGTTTTTTTTTAAAGAAAGGTATAGAGATGTTAGAGAGGCGATGGAGTGATTGTACATCTCTTAAAAGAGACTATATTGATGAATAAATTTGAATTTTACTAAAAAAAGTTGTGTTTACTTCAACAGACCGTGAAATTATCAGCCGATGCGTTATAATACATATACCGGTTTTTAAAACCGTCTATTGAGTGGAATGTAACAACAAGTATTTTTTCTTCTTTGCTTCTTTTATCTCAGTTTCCAATCCCTAAATAATGACCATCTCTAAATGTTTTGTACCCAAGGCGGAAGAGTAATAAAAAATAAAATTTAACACATTTTTTGCTACTACATATTGTTTTTTAATAATTTTTGTATTTCATTTTATGGGCCATTTATACAAATAATCTGTCATAAAAGGAAAGATTTCAGAACCATAAGTTAAAATTGTTTGCGGTATGGATATAGTGAACTCCCGGTTATAGTGAACCGAAATTTCCGGTCCCTTGAAGGTTCACTATAGCGGGGTTTGACTGAATTTTTTTTTTTGGAAATTCTTTTAAAAGATATACATGTTAACTATGTAACCTATTTTAGCTTGGTATGATGCTGAAATAAAATCATATCAAAAAGTACGAACAGCATGTGAATTAGAAAAGGTGTTTGAGGAAAAGCTCACACCAGGTGGAACTAAAATCGATGTATGGAAGACCCAAGAGGATGAGGAAGGTAAAAAAATTATTATTATGGTGAATATAATTAAATATCATAAATGAAATCATTTGTAATTTTCAATGGCATTTTGTTAGTTACTATGCATATTTATTTTTTAATATTTAGTATTAATACTTTGACGTAATTTCAGGAGATCATGTCAAACAAATTAAAAGGCTTGAAGAAGAAGATACTAAAAAATTGATTCCAGATGTAAAACGCTATAAAACTACATCAACTTACGTATGTATCTAACATTACTTTTTAATTTTTTATAATACGTTTTGAAATTGTGTGATACTAATGCATAGGATCAATTAACATGTAATCATTTTTGTATATTTTGTGAATTTCTTTATTTTATATCGTGATTAATAATTTCCTACAAGTACTGAGGATGCTCAGAGAAATTTACAAAACTTAGTTTAAAATCTACAAAGTTTACATTCAATTATCTAATTTCGGTATGCAAACAAATTCATTGTTATTCATTTAGTGGATAATTTTTATGACTATTCTAAACTTACGCTAAGGTACTTACAAAATGTACACATTTGCTTTAAAAGCAAGAATACGTGGATTTAAGTTGTGGTAAATTTGTACGATTAATTGTTCTTGGCTCATCAGTAGTCACTTGAAATTTCTTTTTTATTATATCCTTTCAACTCCTCTTTTTATATCCAATAAAATATGTTAAAAACAGAATGTATTGAATAAAAATAGCAAATACACTATAATATTGTTCATTTTTTAGTGGAATTATCAAAATTTTAAAGATATCTATTTATTTCAGATTGATCCTAAAACTGGAGAAAAACGCTCAGAGGAACTATCACAAGCTCAATATATGGCTAAAACCTATGAAGCCCAAGCTCAAATGTAAATCCCCATTTCTGCATTTTTTAAAGATTGCTGCATTGATCAATTAGCAAGAGTTCATGCGAAGACGAATTTTGAATTTTTATTCATTTTTCCTTTTCATCATATTACTTGAAATTATTAAAAATTTTGAATAACATATAAGATTATAAGATTTTCCTGTGACAATTATTGAATTCTCAAAATTGTTTATTAAAGATTTAGTTTAATTGCACCACTTTTTCTAATTAAATATATCATTTGGAATTTTATAGTATTCTGCACTGGAAAAAACAACTGACATGACAAATGTTTTTTTTACCATAAAATAAACTAACGAGGCAAATGAAATCAAATCAGGTCATAATATCATCCGATAAACCAGATTTGGGAAAACAAAATTGGGCACATATATGGGAAAACAAAATTGGTACATCCGATACCAATATATGGGAAAACAAAATTGGGCACAACCTGTGCCCTAAATAAGAAAACTGATGACTGCTTTAGCACAGCAACTTACCAACACCCTGTCAGTCAGAAAAAAACATAACTAATAGGGCGTGTGATCGCCTCTAACTGCTTCACAACTCTCGCATCGGCGTTTCATGCTGTTTACCAGTTTACTTATCAATCCTATATAGCAACTGCTCGTGCACCAAGGCACTCCTGAGCTCATCGATGGTTGTTGGAGCTAGTCTTGGAGCTGCAATTGACCGTCCAAGGAAATCCTATACATTTTCGATGGGACAAAGGTCAGGGAACATCACAGGATACTACAATCGGTGAATATCCTGCTATTACAGGTATTCTTAAATCAACTTAATCCTGTGTAGGCGTTAAAGCTGAAATTTGGCTCATATGCTTCACCGAAAGGTTCACATGGGGGCAAAGATCTCGTATCTGTACTGCTGATCTGTCAAAATACCTCTATCAAACACATGAAGGTCTGTATACTCGCCTGTTACGATGCCTGCTCTGTCCAAAATCAAATCCGGCTATAGTGGTCCTTTTGGACAATGTTAGAAGGCCTATATCGATTCACGGGTTCTCTCCCGAAGACACGTCTCGAATCGCCCTCCAGACTGAATCGTGATTCACAACTGGAGAGAACCTGCCCCAATCATTCTCTGCCCATGTGTTCTCAGCACCATGCTGGACGGTCTTTTTTGTGGTTCACAGTCAAGGGGGTACAGACTATGTGGTGCCTTGCATAAACACCACCGGCATTAAGTCCTTGGGAGACTTGAATAAATGGGATTGATGTTCAATGATGCAGTTTTTAGGGGGGGAAAAAATTCGTGGTTATTCTAAAACAGTTGTGGCGAAGAGGGTTTCAAGGAATAGTTTCAAAATTTTTTATAATAATCCTTATCATTAAGTTCTTAGAAGCTACCAATTACACTAAAAAATCTATTCATATGTTTAGTATTGCTACAATGCTTTATTTCGTTAAAAAACTTTTATAGGTAGAGCGTATTTATTCTCTTTATAATCCAAAATTGTTTTTTTAGTGATTCACAAAAAATACACATGCCCTCATCTCCACAAGAAAGCTCTATTTATGGAAAAGAAGTCCACGTTTCTAAGCAGAAACAAACACAAAAAGAACACAAGGGAGATCTTGAAATAACGAGACATAAGACTGTTACTGAAACTAGAGAACAGGAACACAAAGCTGTTACCAAAGAACGCAAAGTTATGGGAGTAGTTGTAAGTTTCAGAATATTTTCATCAAAGTTCCAAAATACGTATTTAAAGTTATATTTTGGTGATTCTTTTTTTTAAATTTTTAGCCTGAGACAAAACCTCCAATGTTCACAAAGAAAATTGAACCCTGCCGAGCATTTGAAGGAGAATCTGGCAAATTTACTTGCACATTTACTGGATCTCCAACTCCTCATATTACTTGGTTTAGAGAAAACTTCCCTATCAAAGATTCTCAAGATTTCCAGGTATTTTATAAGTTTTTTTATGATCTATCTGCTTCTATCCACTTTTCATTAACTAACTGTTTATTTCATATTTACCTTTCTCGTTTTATGTGTCTATCTGTTTTATATTATTACTTAACTGTTTAATGACTGTTAAGTAATTTTAAAAAAAAGTTAAATATATCAATTTATTAAAAAACTACGTGCCAAAAAATTTAAAAAAATATTTCAGCTGTTTTTATTCAAAAGATAATAAGGACAAAACTGACATAGATTGTCCTATAAGTTTTTTTTTTTAAATAATTTCTAAAATGATTTTTTGCCTGAAATAAAGATTTTGATTTTGCTCTTTCTTTAGATTGAAACCACGGAGACAACCTCTACTATAGTCATCAAAGAAGTATATCTAGAAGATAGTGGTGTGTTTAGTGTCAAAGCTGAAAATAGAGGAGGCACAGCAAAGAGCTCAGCTAACTTAGTGGTTGAAGGTAAATTCGAAATAATTTTTGATTTTTACTCTTTATTGCTTAAAATTTACCAAATGCGCAGTTGTTTCAGTCATGTACGTGTATTTTATCAGTATTTGAATCGATATTTTTTTTTTGTCCATAAGCTCTACATTTACAAATAAAAACATGTTAATTAATGATAATGGAAGCAAAACAACACACATTTATAACAAAATACATTTTAATGAAAAAAAATCTCTCAAAGCATCATTACAAACGTCAACTTAATAAAGAAACAATATTCATATAATTATTTATTGGTTTATATCAGTGGTTACCAACTGGCAGCCCGCGAGCTTAAGTATATTAATTGTCATTTTTTATTCGTAAAACTTTGTATGGACTTAAAATACTTTTCCTTCGTTAAAAAAGAACCTAATTTCTTCGTTTCTGTGAAATTTAACATACCAACGGTGCAAAAAAATTTATTTCTCAGGTTTTGCGTCCAAGAAATTATTTATTCAATTACAAAAATAATCGTATATGTTGCTCTTTTTTTGTATTTTGTGAATATAATTTAGCATATGCGTGTCAGAAATTTTCTCGAAGAAATTCTCCGATTTAACTTTTTGAAATTACTCATTTTGGACGAAATTATTTACATTTGTAAATTTTGTGGCCAGAATTTTTTTAATATGCAATAAAATATTTTTTAAAATCTACTTCTTTTTCTAATTTGTAATTCCACAATTTTTCTTTGTACAATTTGATAAAAATCTGACAGTAATATTTAATGTTCCTTCAAACATAGAAGAGTCCTATATAAAATTTTGATAAAACTGCGGCCTTCCATTTAACTAGTGTTTTTAATTGCAACCCCCGGCCTTATGTAAGTTGGAAACCCCTGTTTTATATGAAAGAAGTAGTAGCCTTCATCTGTCTGAAGCGGTCCATGATATTTCGGTCACTTTGTTTCAGGCCACTGTTTCGGTCACGCCATTTCGGTTTCATTGCGCTTTCAAGCCCGTGCTCATTTAGTCTGTTACTAATTTGATTCATGTATTTTGACGCAGACATTCCATCACATTTCTTACTTTTTTTATTACAATGGTTATGTTTCAATGGCCCTAAATACAATTTTTATATTTTATTATATTATTTATTTATTATTTTCAATAACGAAAAAAAATCGAGATTTGTAAATTTCACTTCCTCATTCTAGAAACTCTTTTCAAATAATTCCTACCTTATAAAAAGGAAATGTGTGAAAATAAGCTTAAATGTTATTAAGCCAAAAACAATTAAAATAGAAATACGGATCAATATAATTATATTGAAATCTTTTGCCTAGTTGGTGAAACTTTTAAAATTTCAATATCTTGAAGAGAAAAATAAAAATGGCAGGAAAAAGAACGCTAACGGAACCAAAACGTCCCACTTCGATTCGAAGAGAACCTTTAAATGAAATACACGCAGACAGTCATAAAATAATTTAAAATACATATTTAAAACAAAACTGTTTTCCTTAGACAAAAGGAGAATGGGCTGGTTAATTTAAAAAATCTTTTTTAAAACTTCCTTCCACCAATAAATTTCATTAAAAACTAAAACTCAATTATATTTTATTTTTTAGCTGTGTTATTCGATTTTAAATAAACAGATAAACTTTAATTATTACTTAAATATTTTTAAATATTATTATAGCTTTTTTCCCGAAAAAAACAAATATATTTTCAAACATTTTGTAACAGTCATCTGTCATCGCAGTATTTTGAAATATATTTTTTAATTACTTCAGAACGAAAAGAACAAGTGAGAGGCGCTATACCACCAAGTTTCGTCACGACAGCTCAAGATTCAACTGCTAAAGTAGGTCAGCTGGTGCGTCTGGATGTTGTAATTGCTGGTTCAAAACCCCTTGATGTTTATTGGCTTAAAAACGGAAAGAAAGTAATACAAGATATTACACACAAAACTATTGAAGAAGAAGATCAGTACACACTAATGGTATTAGAAGCAACTCAAGAGGATGTTGGGGCATATGAATGTGTTGCAATCAATAAAGTTGGAGAGGCGAGGTGCCAAGCAAACATTCAAGTACAAGGTGAGTGTTTTTACATAATTTGTTTCTTTTTAAAATATTTTCCTAAAAGAATATATTAAAGTTCTCGCACGAAAGAAAAATATTCTAGTAAAATTACCATGCTGTATGGAAATGACATTTCTGGTAAAAAGAAACTATAATTCTGATTAGTAAAACCAAAACACACGGTATTTGAATCAATCATTTGGTAAATTTATTTCGTATGGTAACGGTTTGTCTGAAAATTTTGGTTTTCAAAATTATAGTTTTTATATAACCACACATTTTGTAAAAAATACAATCCTGAATAGTAAATTTAACCGAATAAATGGTTTTTATGATAAGCGTTAAGGCAATATGATAAAATTGCAAACTTTTACCAGATTTACCAAATTTTATAACATGTTTTATGGTTAATTATCCATTACCCTAGCGCTTCTGTAAAAATCACCGATATTTTTGATGTTCCAACAGAGCAAGAATCACGGTAATTTTTACCATGTTCTGGTAGTTTTGACCCTACTTTTTAGTGTATGATTATATTTTTAAAACTCTTATTAAATATAAAACATGCAAAAAGGACAGTAGGAAATCAATCTACAAGTAGGAAATCAATATTAAGATGCGAAAAAAAATTAAAAAATTAACGAAGCTAGAAAAATTATTTTCGAAGATAACTATTAAAATTGGTACAAAAATTATCTAAAGAGAGAGATTAGTACAACAAAAATATACGGTATTTAAACTATTTATTGAGTAAAAAATAGAAAATTGAAAAGTAAGTTTAACCAAATAAATGTTTTTTATGCCATGCTCTAAAGAATCAGGATAAAATTACCCAATTTTATCCTGCATTATGAACTATATTTTATTGTTAATTTTACCAAAATCATTACCAAAGCACTTTGGTAAAAATTATAGAGCTTTTTGGTGTTCCTATAGTGCCAGAAACACTGTAAATTTCATCATATTCTGGTAGTTTTGACGCTACTTTATTTATCAGTGTGGAAAAGATTTAGAATATGTTTCATAGAATCAAGTCTAATAGTGTATTTTGCGCTTTTTTAACGCTTCTGAAATTAAACGAAGTTTTTCATGAGGTACTAAAGTAATTGAAGATGCCTTATAGGCAAAAGATCTTAACATTTTTGGAAAAAAAATTAGATTTCTCAGAGAAAGACCTCAGTTTAATTTTTATCAACTACACAAAATTAATTTATTTTTACCAATTTTCTAAATTTCGAAGAGCTCGGTGAATGAATGTACAATGTCTGCGAATTTTTTTGGAGAGGGAGAAGGTTTAAAATACATTTGGCAAAGAACAGTAGACGAGTAAATTTAAATGACTTGCCTTTTGTTAGCAAAGCGAAATTCAAAATGTATGGACGCTATGACACGAATACTTTAAATTAGTGTCGAAGATTTATAGCTTGGGAGCAAGAAATAAAGGCAAAGCATAATCATTCTTTTTGTCAACAAATGAACTTTTCTACCCTCTACATATGACTTTAAAACTATTTAGCCTGATCATGGTTACTGCTCTTATATTTATTTATTTTTGGAAATATTTTCAGTATAAATATAAATTTTTTTAATAATAAAAACGTGTTGTATTATAAATCTCTGGAAATACATGATAGAGTCAAATTACTACGTTTTTATTATTTTTTTTAATTTGTGATAAAAGAACAGGAATATATTGTTTAATATTTTATTTACCACTGCTAATTTGTTAATAAACGGATTGAAAAAGAAAAGATTTTGAGAAAAAGTTGCGTTTTTTTCTCAATTTTGTCTAAAAACAAAAACTGCGCAATAAAAAAAGCATTTAGAGTTCATTGGATTACTATCCGGGAGAAAAAAAAAACATTATCAAACTCATTTGAAGATTTTAAGGAGAGAATAAAATAAATTTTTTTGCAAAATTTGTTTATATTATATACACCGAAGAGTCATTACATTATGACCACCCTTTATCTATAATAATGGGCTCGCCCAGGTTTTCATGGTTACTCGCCCGGGAACAATGTTTTCATGGGACACATTAGGACCCATAATCCTCATAGAACAATCCCTGACGTCTGTAAGCTACTTGAACATAGTTGCAGACCAGGTTCACCCATTCATGGCAACAGTTTTTCCTGCGGGGGATGGTGTTTACCAACAGGATAATGCACCATGTCATAAGGGTCGAATC